GCTAAAAATGAAGACTGCTCAAATTTTGAATTGTCTGCACCTTATATAATCATATAGTAAAGTTCTTAAACACAAATACAACTAAAGAAAAATTTCAATAACGAATGTCAATACATCACAAATGTACTCATGCAGAGTAAAATTTACCATGGTGAATCAATTTCTTTTAAGGTAATTATATGCACGTCAGCTGCTGGTTTGAATACACTCGTAACTTCAAAGTAAAATCCTGGCATTAATAATACTTCTTCTTCATTAGGGTATTTAGAATGATTTCTGATGGATTTTCCATTTTTACATTCAATTGTAAATACTGTGCGCTTGCCAGATCCATGCATAAAATTTTCTAATAGAGATCCATCAGAAGTTGTTAATGATACGCTCCACCAGACACCTCTTTGACCTTTGGTATATTCCTTATTGAAATCGTCTTGCATGCTACGCCAAACTAATCCTTGAAATGATGGCAATTTATGCAGTGCTGTCATGAATAATTTCAAATATGGAAACCATGGTTTTATTTTATGTCTGTCTTCCGAACGTAGTGCGACATTAAATATTCTATAAAGAGAAGTTTCTCCCAATTCCATACCGTAGACCATAATAGAAGCCGACTCATCTTGTGTTAATCCATCTTTAGGCCATGTACAATATCGTTTAGCATCAGCTACATGTCTTGGCAGTTCCTCTATTAGATGATCCACTGGTTTCAATGCTTCTTCTAGAGACATTAGTGGTTGCTTTTCATAACCACTCAAAGGTGTCTTTACAGTTGACTGAATTTCATGAGGATTGACCAATTCTAACCTAAAACACAAATATATTGCGAGGAGTAAAAGCCGTATTATCAATAATTTAACTGGAAAAACTTACGTTAGTGATGATTTTTCTTGTTCGATTTCTTTAATCAACTCATTTGACCGAGTGAAAACTGCTTTGACCTGCAACATAAAACCAGAGTCCAAATTGTCCTTCCAGAGATTCAGATCTTCTGTACAAGTCGATTAATTTATATGCAAATATGAAATTCGTCGACAATATTACAATCGTGTGAAACCAGAATTTCTGAACTTATTAGAGAAGTAAATTCGTTGTTTGATTAGTTTTGATACAAAACTACATGAAATTTGTTGACTTTAGACCTGATTACATCATTTTTGACAAAAATTAATTCTTGTCGCTTAGTAGTGTCATAGTGTATTATAAACTATTTAGGAAGACTCTCAGGGTTTTTGCAGTACTTATTTCGAAGAAAGATTCTTTTTAGTGTTAAAAGTTGCTGCTGGATTAAGCCACCCACCCTTCTTAAAAACTCTAACAAATGACTCATAAAGAATGAACCTCAGAGTACTTTACATTGTTCTCAGCTGCACCTCAATAGAGTCGAATCAGTTTTTCCACAAGATTCGTTGTTTAATTCCCTATATAACTGCATCTTACACTTCGATATAAAATAAAATAGAACATTGTCCTAGGACAACAACTATCATGTAAATATGGGGTAGAGTGGAGAAGAAAATATTTTGAGATTGGACGAGCAAGAAATAGTCCCGGTTTCAGCCTCTAGTCTGGATCTGTGAGACAGTCAGTCATTCTATCACCTTTATCTATACAGTCACTCGCATAGGCTCACACTAAAGTGATTCTACTGACTTTTGTATAATTTTTTGCCCATTTTTCGTTTGCTTCTTTGTCCATGCAGTATAAAAAAATGCTTGTCAACTGTGGCAAATCATGAATTTCCGGTACAATTTTTCGCCCGAATTGTCCACTAACAATTAAAATTATATGATCATTATTCTTCTGATTGATAGACAATTCACATTCTTCGACTTTGTCAAATGTTTGAAAATCATCTTTGAATAAAACGCGTAACTTTTCTTGTATTGCTACATTTTCTTTTGACTTATTAACATTTGGATCGAGCCATAACAAATACAAGATCGATGTTGTTATAGGCATTGCAGCCGATGCAGCAGCAATAGCTCCAGTTGCTAAAAGATTATTCATTTCTTCAGGAGTGAGTATAATTTCTTCACAAGAAACAATATATAATTTATCAGCTGGATTTGATTGTGATTTAACTCGTATACATGTACCAGGTGGTAAAATAGTCTCACTTTCGTTCGGATAATGTGAATGATTTTTAATTGTCTTTCCATTATAACATTTAATATTGAATAATGTTCGATGTTTCTTTTTGTTGAGAAACGTATCAGTGATATGTACTTGATCTGAACATGAACTAGCAGCATGCCATATATGGATACTACCTGGACTATATTGATCGCTCAGATTGGCAGTAACACCACGCCACACATTATCTTGAATTGATGGTAATTTGTTTAGTGCAGACATAAACAACCTATAATAGTCGTAAAATGGTATTGCTTTTGTGCGATCTTCATCACGTAATACACCATTAAATCTCTTATAAAATGAAGTTTGAAGTGAATACAGATATAATGCAGCAGACTGATCTTGTGTAAGACCATCTTTCGGATGTTTACATTTTTCTAATGAATATGCCACTTTATCTAATAAATCTTCGGCTAAGTTCAAATTAAGAACGGGTTTCACACATTCACGTAATGATTGTATTCCTTTTCCTCCAGTGACAGGCATCGGCAATGGAGGTAATAGTTTATCAGGTTCTTCGTTAATATCGAGGAAACGTTGTCGATCATTAACACCACGAACTCCTGAGGCCATTTGATATTGGTTTAAACAGTCTAAAACGAAAGACAGTGTAGTATGGGTGTGATGTGTGAGAGTGTGGATGATGAGAGATTCAAATCTACACTATATAATCTAACCCTTTCAGCATTATTCAATGTGATTACAGGCAAAATAGCAGCAAATTAGTCTAATAGGCAACTGCCCTTTATGCTTGCATATTGATATCGACGGTGAGTCAGAAGTGCTCTAGAAGTCACTGAAATAGCCAGTCCCGTAGAGAAAACATTTCTGCATCTTTTGAAACGCCTCCACCCTCGAAAGAAAGTGCGAAAGCCAAAACAAAGGTGTGCTGTGGGGGTATATCATGTGACTGTGGATGTACGGGTGTAAAGGTGATGATGATCGAGAGAAGATTCACGCCAACACACTGGCTCACACCCATACCCGTGAGCTCTTGCACCTATAGACTATCTTGCTGCAACGCAAGCAGAATCAACCACCGCTCAGAATGGAACACGTGTCCAAGCGCAAAATCGATTTTTTTTTAAAAGTGATCTTTGTTTCGAAATCCCGAGGGTGAAACAGGGATCCAAAGTTAGAATACTTTGCAGTTCTGTAGTGTTGCTATCATCGCAAATGCTTTAAATGTGACACGCAATTATTGTTGCCATTCAGATGAAAATTGTTTTCGTCATGAAGCTCTTCGTTTTACTAGTTATGCCCTCATAAGAATACTATACATCAGATAACTTTTATTTTTCATACGCATGTGCTTTTCAAAACTCATATAAATTCATTTGTATTGTTACTTATTTGGTATTTTAAGCAAAGTATCGCATGCTGCCAGATGTCGCTCGTGACTTTAGAAAAAAAAAATCAACCTATCGTATCATATTCTAAAATAACGCGATTTAGATAAATATCTATGTTTGAACATTTTGGAAATTTCTGTGAAGTTAATTTTCTTTTTTCGTATTTGATTGGTCGAACGAAGTCGGTAAGCCATTGAAAAACAGCGTACAACTGGACATCATACTTGAGGTAACAATACTGCTTCTTGACTCTTCCGCTGCATATCATATTCTCTCACGTATCTCTCTGAAAGGCATAACACTGCGGCATTCGTTCATTAGTATTCCTATTACTCCCAAAACTTTGTGGGTGTGGGTATGGCTGTGGGGATGTGTGGGTGTGGGTGTGATAAGACGTATATTGATGAGCACCCACACCCACCCTCTTAGATTGAATGCTAACATATGCACTGCTCGTTCTTTTTTGTAATAGTAGGTTGTTCGTTCTTCTCTTTTCTTTCATCTAACAGATACTCTTTGTTATTTCTTCTTTTATTCTCTATGAATAAACTTGATATTCATCTTCTCTTGTTTTTGCTCAAACGAAAAACTACATTAAAAGATTATGTCTATCGTGATTAATGAACAGTTGAGAAAAATTTAAGAACTCAATCGAAAACTGAATTTTGTACTTCTTAAGTGGATCCCGTTTCCTTACCCAAAACAAAGTTTTTTTTTTTCGATTTCGAGATTTTCATTTCTAAAGATGTATTGAAGTGTCCTCTATCAAGCACCGTAACAATCAGAACTGCACCAAGCCGTATAAACTCTGAAAAAGCTTAGTTTCGAGGATCCCTATCCTGAAGGAAAAAACCTATAGTTTTTTTTAGACGACACTCTTGTTTATAAATTCTATGAATATTTTTTAAAAACAACACTTTATATTCATATTCAATGCGCAATAAATGATAATCTGTGATAATTTAAAATGAGCAAAAGAGAAAAAAGATACAGGTAAAAAAAAAACAAAATTTGACTTTGTTTTACGTTTTTTCTCAAAATCAATTTTTGAACAAAAAAAATGAAGTTTTTCTTCTATACAATACGTCTGATCAGGCTCTAATTGGTGTGTGTATTTTTTTTTTGCTTCAAAATATTGTTCCTACGAAATTCGGCAGCTTTTAAAAAATAAGTACCATTCAAAAACAACACGTTTTATGATGGTGCTTCCCGTTTCTGAGCTCTAGGAACAATATTTTTGAAAGAAAAAAAAAAGCACGCTCCCCGATTTGACCATAATTGTCATGAAGAAAGGAAATATAGAGTTTTGCCGACTGAGAAATTTTCGGCCTTTGGGATCTCTATATCGTCCTGAAAGCAGCGTCTAAGAATGATAGTTTTTGTTCTAGTTATCAAGATCTATCTGCTTTAAAAGTTTCATAATTTTTCGTCGAGTCATTCCGGAAAATCCCTGGAGAGAGGGGGGCTTCTGAAGTTAACATTTATTATTTACCAGCATCTCAAAGTCCATATGATTCATCAATACAATATCAAAATCATTTCATTTTCTTTTCATTTTAAGTATATTTCATAATTTCTAAGATTTTAAAATAAAAACTCTTATACATACTATCGAACATAATGAATGTCATCTCTCATTCCGTTAAGAATACATTCAATATTGTCTTAACTTTCAAAAAACAATGCAATGATAATTCCTTTATAATATACTCAAATACATGTTCATCCTTATTTGAACATTTGTGATACAATTTTATTTGTTAACTTGTTTTGAGTTTTGTTTTGGAATAATTAAAATTCGGTTTTAATAACTTTTATTAATCTGATAAAAAAAAAAAACTTTCATTTTTAATGCTTTCATTAATAATTATCATCAAGTGTATTCAATTGAAATTATATTATTCTCTACACTAGAGAGTACATTCTAATGGGAAGTCATATAATCATCTTTGTTAGTCTTTATTGTTTCTTTTTTACTTCATATATTAGCATTGCTTACATATGATAAGTAATCATGAGTGAGTTTATGCTGATCTTGGGTGTGGGTGTGGGTGCGGGTGTGGGTGCGGGTGTGGGTGTGGGGTGTGGGTGTGGGTGTGGGTGTGGGTGTGGGTGTGGGT